GGCTCTTGTGAATAGTGCTGCTATGAACATAGTCTTGCATGTATCTTTTTGATTTAAAGTTTTGTCCAGATATTGGGTGTCTTTTTAAAATGCAGGCTCTGATTCAATAGCTCTGGAGTGCATTCTGTATTTTTAACAAGACCCTAAAGGATGCTGGTCCTCTGAAAACACTTCGTGTAGCAAAGGATTAAGTCATATATTCTGAGGTCTGTCATAATTGTGAGTGTCTTTCTGATATGTTTTCAACTTGCCATCTAGAGCAGTCTAAACCAGTACTATTTAACAGAAATAGAACACAAGGCATATATAGAATGTGGCTATATATTCTTGGGTTTCATTCATTTCATTTTTCCTTTTAGTTCTTTGTTATTGAGTCACTATCTTCCGAAAGCTGATGTTACTGAGATAATTCATTTGGTTACCTAATTTACTTTTAATTTTTCTGCCAACATAATGTATCTATTAAATCTCAATAACACCATGTTTATCTTTGTTTTTGTTTTTCTGGAACATAATGAGACTGAGAATTTTGATCTGTCAATTCAGATGTTCTTTTACTTTGGCAAAGTTTTCATCTAATTCCATATTTCTTCAATTAAAAGATTTTTTTCACATTTGGTGTTTCTCAAATAACTTGTAAGTAACATGTTCATGCAATAATTTATCATTTACTTCTATTCTCTTGAAAGCTATTTTTAAATCAATGGTGCATCTTGAAATTAATGATAGTTTGAGACCAAAGAAATGCAATGTTTTATATTTATTTTCACTTCCCTTTGGTCTTTCCTTTTTTTCCTGGAAAGCCACATGGTTTTGTGCTTTTTGTCTGTTATTTGTCTTCTATCACCATTACTCTCCTTAACCAGCTTTCTTCCTCTGTCCATACGCTCTGCAATCTGTGTAATTTTTCCCCAATCTGCCCTTCGAGTCAAAGCTCAATTTTCCACAAAGCTGACTTATATCTAGTTGCTTCTAATATGGGTTTTGGTTTTATAACAGTTTTATTTTCCTTTTGTACTTTTCTTGGCTTTCCTTTTCATTATGTCTTACATTTTTTAACCACTTTTATTATAAACCTGTTTTCTCTAAAGCCTTAGAGTTCAGAGTACTTTTCTTCTTTTTTTGGAATAATTGTTAATCTCTGTGTGGCATATACCAAATGCTTCTTTCTTTATTGGAAGCAGTTTTGCATAACCACACTGGTGCTTTGGGTATTTTGTACAGGTTTTGAATATGTTTTGGGGGCAAGGGGATGAGGGGCAAGGGGAGTAAAGTTAGGATCCAACAGAAGTTGGTTGTACACATTTCACATTTATGGTTCTCAGCTATTTTGTAGTTTATTGATATAAGTTTAGCTGCTCGTTACTACTTTATACAGAAGCTACTGATTTTTTTTTCTGGATTTATTTTGTCAGCAACGTCAATTAACTCAATCAGTTTTTAATTATTTCTCTTAGCTATGGTCTCTGTGAATCACTACTACCACTTGCCCATAAGACAAAAGAAGATGGTGATGTTAACTATCTCCCCCAAGCACGTGCATGATCAGTCGTGTCCAGCTCTTTGTGACCCCATGGGCTGTAGCCCACCAGGCTCCTCTGTCCATGGGGTTTTCCAGGCCAGAATACTGGAATGGGTTGCCATTTCCTTCTGCAGGGGATCTTCCCAACCCAGGGATCGACCCTGCCTCTCCTGCACTGGTAGGTGTATTCTTTACCACTCCACCACCTGGGAAGCCCCACCCCAGTTCACACAGCTATTAAATGATGAAATTTTGATTTGCAGGTGGGCTGCCATCTCTGGGATCGCACAGAGTCGAACACAACTGAAGCGACTTAGCAGCAGCAGCAGTAGCAGCAGTGAAAGTGAAACTTGCTCAGTTGTGTCCGACTCTTTGTGAGCCTATGGACTGTACAGTCCATGGAGTTCTCCAGGCCAGAATACTGGAGTGGGTAGCTGTTCCCTTCTCCAGGGGATCTTCCCAACTCGGGGATCCAACCTAGGTCTCCTGCATTGAAAGCAGATTCTTTACCAACTGAGCTATCAGGGAAGCCATGATAGGTAGGGTAGACTCTCAAATCATTACACTGTTTGAAACTTTTGACTATGTTACCTCCCTCTCTCCTTTTTTCTTACCAAATTGCAGAGTCATCTTCATTCTCTCATTTCTTCTACAACCTGCTCCCTCTCTAATAGAGATGAACTGTGTAAAGTAAAGCTAAGGTCTAGGGTAGGTCTCTACTAACTGGGCATGTGCTCTTGCCATCTTAAGCCTCAACTTCCTCATTAATGAAATAGTAATCAACACATCTACTTTAAAAAAAAACTTTCTGGATTACTGCAAGATTTAGATATAATCATTTAATAAACTTCTCCAAGAGTTTTGCCCAGCCATTACCTTTTCCTCCTTTGTACCTGCCCAGAGAGGACCTGGAGCTATATCCGACAAGATTGACAGGGGTATCCTAAAAGCAAACTGCACTGCCATGAAAAGTACACATTCCAAGTGAATTTCTGTCCTCCACTGCTCGAGCTAAAGAGTTTTAGGTAAATATTCCAGGATTCGAAAGTCCTCCCTTTTGGAAGGTGATTTGAACTTGAAGGCGGAAAATCACAACATAAAATAACATGAAAACAAGATACATGTCATAAATCTTATACTTTGTTACAGAAGGATGCTGATTATATGTTCTTTGAGTACTTATGAACAAGTATGACAGGCATGATTCTCAGGAATACAGAAAAGCTTATAGGGCAAACTTTATTTTCAGATACTCATGACATTCCTAGCAATGGCTTAAAATTTTACCAACATTTCCAAAGTTGTTTTCTAAGAGAATTTAGTTCACCTTTGATATCTGTGAGCAAGCCTTTCAGATGTTTTATATTAAAACATGCATACCTAATTAATTATATGGTCATCCTATTAAGCATTTTCTCTGCTTTAACATATCAACAGAGTCCAAGTTGTAAGCATACAGCAGGTAGGGAGCCCTGCGGTGGTGATACCTTGAAATCATGCTGGCACGTGCCACCTCAAAGCCATACGCCCATTATACAGAGTGAAGTAAGCCAGAAAGATAAAGACCAATATAGCATACTAACGCATATATATGGAATTTAGAAAGATGGTAACGGTAACCCTATATGCAAGACAGAAAAAGAGACACAGATGTATAGAACAGACTTTTGGACTCTATGGGAGAAGGTGAGGGTGGGATGATCTGAGAGAACAGCATCGAAATATATATATTATCAACTGTGAAACAGATCGCCAGTCCAGGTTGGATGCATGAGACAAGTGCACGGGGCTGGTGCATTGGGATGACCCAGAGGGATGGGATGGGAAGGAGGTGGGAGGGGGATTCAGGATGGGGAGCACATGTAAATCCATGGCTGATTCATGTCAATGTATGGCAAAAACCACTACAATATTGTAAAGTAATTAGCCTCCAACTAATAAAAATAATTGGGGGGGGGGGGAACCATGCATCCAGATAACTGAGAAATATATACATCTTTCCAGAGTCTCAGAATGAGTCAATAATGGATTTAGACATAATATTTAAATTAAGCCACCAAAGGAGAAGCAGAGAAACAAACAAATAAAACCCACAACTGAAAGCAAACCATTCACAGAAACATCACTGAATATTTCATGAGTAAGGTTCTCAGCAGTGATGAAGAGACAGCCCCATCTACAGAAATTGTTCAGAACCTTGGAGAATGAGGAACCACATGATTTGGGTATACCTGGCATCCATATTTGTTTCTAAGAGGCATCCCTATAGAAACTGATTCCTTTTCAGAATTTCTACAAGGTAGCTAGCTCTGGCATTGGGCTTTTCAGAGAAGGAGACAAATTTTCTCTCTCATTTTGATTCATAAGAAATTTCAGGATTCCTATTTATTCTACTTGTAAAATATATTACATAAACTAATACAAAGATAAAAAAATATGTGCTGCCAATGTGATCTCTTTTTCTTAAAAATTTTGTTCAGAACTCACTCACAAACTAAAAATCTCTTTTCCAAAATATCTATTCTGGCATTCTGAGTTAACAACAATAATAAAAATTAACTTCAGAAGGAGCACTTAAATGCTAAAAACCAAAATAAAAAAGAGATATGAAACACTACACCAAATTACAAAGATCCTGGTTAAAGAAAAAATATACTAGCAGTTTGAAGATCTTAAGAGCCAAATAACTCCCTCCTTCATTTTGAAAGAAACTTAATTGGAACCTGACACACAGTAGAAATTCAGAGATGTTTGTTAAAGTGGTGAGTGCTGTTTTGAGGAAATTTCAGAGATGGTAGTTCACAGTTTGGGACAGAGTGGCAATTTCTACAAACTATGAGCGTTTCAAAGTTCTTATGACGCAGTACCTGAATCTACCCCAGTAACTAATGCCTTATGGCTCACTGTGCACCCAACTATTGTTTATGTCAGGGTTTTGCATGGGGTAAGGGGCCCAAGTGTTAGGCCCAAGTGATCTCTAAGTCAGTGGCTATCAAACTTCTGCAGGGTCAGAATCTCCAGGAGGGCTTGTTAACACACACACTCCTGAGTCCCAGAGATTTAGGCTCAGCAGGTGTGGGGTGGGGCCCTTGAATTTGCCTTTCTAACCAGGTGCCAGGGGATGGAGCTGCTACTTGTCCTTGGACACATCGAATAGCAAGGCTGCTGGATCCTTTCCAATTCAGAGTCTAACCTTTCAGAACCTGGCCTCAGTTTGCAATATTCCTTAAAGTCTGGGATTTGACAGAATCCTACAGTGGCAAAAATTATGAGGATGTACTCACGTCTGCCTACCTGCCCTCGGAGCCCTCCTCCGCCCATTATATGCCCCAAGCCCCTGCAACCGGCACTCACCAAGCTTTCCCAGGGCCCGGGGCCCCTCGGAGCCGCGGGCACGGCCCCTGCTTCCCAAGGGCGGCACTAGCACCCGGGCGCGGGAACGGCGCGCGGTGGGCAAGTGCGGAGCTGGGTCTCCGCTCTACCGCGGGTGGTACGGAGCGCCCCGCGCCCTGCTGGCCCTTTTAAAACGCGCGGGACTGGTAAACTTGGCTGGGCTCGTCCCGCAGGGGGGCGGGGGGTGCTGTACTGTTAATTTCTCGTGGGTTTCATGTGAGTGTCCAGAGACTCTCCAGCTGTTGGCTCTCTGCGCAGCTGCCAGCAGCTGTTTCGGAGGAAGCCAGGGGCTGCCAAAAAAAAAAAAAACTTGAGAAAGCGGTTTCTCAGAAACCCAGGGCAACTTTTATCTGCTGAACTGAGGTCACTGCTGCTACTTGAGCTGAGGGCTCGCCATTTGGCTCCAATGGTTTACGGCTTATTCTGTGGTCTCCTCCAAGCCAGCCTGCAGAGAACCAGAGAACATTCCCAGAGAGTCAGAGAGCAGGCGACGGCTGGGGGAGCTGAAGTCCGAGAGGGAGAGCCGAGAGCAAAGCTGGGCTAAAGGCAGCAGAAGCTCCCCAGCAGCTCCCAACAAGGGCAGGGCCGGGAAGGGGCTGGGAGGGGGGTGGGCAACAGGAGTGAAGACTCGATTTCTCGCAGGGATCCCAATGATGCACTTGAAAAGCATTGTCTCTTCTTAGGTGGATGGCGTGTTTGCTTGCTTTTATGTTTTCCATTGATGTGAACCCACGATTGAGATTTTATGGATAAACCTATTTCCAGCTTGAGCAGTTGAATTCAGTCTATCCCCACATGCTCAGCCTGCCACCTTCTCCGTTGTCCTTGAAGAAATATGGGAATACTTAACACTGATGTAAGTTTATTAGGCCAAGTTGTTGTTAGTCACTAAGTCATGTCTGATGCTTTGTGACCCCATGGACTCCGGGAGGCCAGGCTCCTTTGTCCTTCACAAAGGCCAAGGGGAAAGTTTATTAAAAGGTCAAAAGACCCTTGGCTTAGCAAGGGCCATTAGAGCTCCAGGCCTCTCCCATTCTACAATAGCCTCAGAAGTGAATCAGGAGGTTCCTAGGTGTGTCTCAGAAGGAATGGGGCTGGAAGAATGGAGAGAAGGAAGTAGAAGGAGGGCTGTCAGCACTTTTTCCTTTTATTATTATTTTTTAACAAAGGGAACACAAATTTGTGTGAAACTAATGACTGATTTCATTTTGTTTTGTTTTGTTTTGTTTTACTGGTAAGGGGCACAATGATCTTTGCTGTAAACTAGAGCTTACCTTCGAGAAGGAAATGGCAACCCACTCCAGTATTCTTGCCTGGAGAATCCCATGGACAGAGGAGCCCCGTGGGCTACAGTCCATGAGGTCGCAAGAGTCGGACATGACTTAGCAACTAAACCACCACCACTCTTCTGGGATCTACTTAGTAGAGTGAGGATCCCAGGGTGTTCTGCACAGGATACCCCAAAATGCTGGGTTTGAGCCTAGTCCTGTCCCGTGTGGAGGAAAGGTCTCATCCTGGCCTCCAGGGTTCAGAACCCCCTGCCTGCCTCACCTGTGTCCTCTCTCCAGTGTTTTTCCTTTTGTGTGTGTGCTGTGGGGAAGGATGCGCTGGTACTCACTATCCTTCCTTGGCACTGCCCACCAGACTTGCTCTGCCAAACATGGCCCAGCTCAGCCGCCCCCCGAGAAATGTGACAAGAACCAGGAACACAATCCAGCAAAAGCAGAATGTGGGCAGTGGGCGGGGGGGGGGGGGGGGCATGGAGAGGCTGTATTCTCAAGTATACCACCACCCAGTATCACTGCTAGAAAATAATCAGAAAAAAATCTCAAGGTGCCAAAGAACGGTTTCCCTAGTCGAGCTGTTCTGCATTGTCCACCCTCCCCTGCCCCCAGGACTGATGGTTTAGTATCGACGCGTCTCAGATTCTGTCCAGGCTTTGATGAAGGAAAGAGGAGACTGGAAAAGCAAACTTAAAACTCAACATTCAAAAAACTAAGGTCATGTCATCCGATCTATCACTTCATGCCAAATAGATAGGGGGAAATGGAAACAGTGACAGATTTTATTTTCTTGAGCTCTAACATCACTGCGGACAGTGACCACAGCCATGAAATTAAAAGTTGCTTGTTCTTTGGAAGAAAAGTTATTGACAAACCTAGAGAGCATATTAAAAAACAGAGATATTACTTTGCCAACAAAGGTTCATATAGTCAAAACTATGGTTTTTCCTGTAGTTGTGTATGAATGTGTGAGTTGGACCATAAAGAAGGCTGAGCACTGAAGAATTGATGCTTTTGAACTGTGGTGTTGGAGAAGATTCTTGAGAGTTCCTTGGACTGCAAGGAGATCCAACCAGTCCATCCTAAAGGAAATCAACCCTGAATATTCACTGGAATAACTGATGCTTAGGCTGACGCTCCAATACTTTGACCACCTGATGTGAAGAGCCAGTTCATTGAAAAACACCCTGATGCTGGGAAAGACTGAGGGCAGAAGGAGAAGGGGACGACAGAGGATGAGATGGTTGGATGGCATCTTTAACTCGGTAGACATGAGTTTGAGCAACCTCTGAGAGACAATGAAGGACAGGGAACCCTGGCGTGATGCAGTCCATGGGGTTCGAAAGAGTTGGACACAACCAAGCAACTGAACAACAGTGCGCCTCACAAGGGAAGCCCAAAGAGTGACAGGCAGGGCTGGAAGGTCAGAACCTGCATTCCAAGAACAGAGCACACATGCTGTTCCCATTTGCACCGTCATGAGCTGTCCATACACCCTCTGTGGACAAAGGCTGATTAACTGAGATGTTTTTTCTAATCAAGAGTGCAATCCCAAGGAGACCTGTTTCACTTCAGGAGAAGGGTGCGGTTCTTTCCCTACACTTAACTGAAGTAGTTTTCCAATCGCATTGGAGTCGATCTGAATTTGGCTTTTTTGAGTAGCTTTTCTGGAAAGTATTATTATAGGAATGTTTTTATTTGTAATACAATTACAATTGAAGTTTCACAATCACACTATGATATAAAAGTGGTTTTGGTGATCAACAACATTTTCTACAGAATTCAACGTGTTCTTTTTCTTCCTTCTGTTTGTAAAATGGAAACAATTGTTCTCCTAAAGAAGTGAAGTGAAAGCCGCTCTGTCGCTCGGTTGTTCTCCTAAAGAAGTGAAGTGAAAGCCGCTCTGTCGCTCGGTCATATCCAACTCTTTGTGACCCCATGGACTATACAGTCCATGGAATTCTCCAGGTCAGAATACTGGAGTGGGTAGCTGTTCCCTTCTCCAGGGGAATCTTCCCAACCCAAGGATAAAACCCAGGTCTCCTGCATTGCAGGCAGATTCTTTACCAGCTGAAATAACCAGGAAAGCCCTTTCATAAAGAAATTATAATGCAAAATTTGTCCTCTGTTAGGAATTACACTTGTTCTACTAAAGATACATTAATTTGTTTCAGAAAGTAGGAGTTTTAAGCTCAACTTTGCAAGGAATTCAGGTACTGAAATCACCAAGCTTTCAATTAGTTACCATGGAAAGTAGACTATTTGGGTTTACGTTTATCTGGCTTTGATATTGAATAAAAGAAAAAACATCCAGTATTTCAAAATTGTGGTGTGTTAAATATTTTCCCAGAATCATCATGAGTTATTTGCTTTTCATTAACCCAACCTCTACAGTCTGGGATTTCTGCAACTGTTTTAGATAAGGAGATAACATTAGAATGAGCCACTCTACAACTGTCTTCTACTCTACCTTCCTTAATTCTTGCTGAGAAGTATTGATGTATTCCCAAGTTTGTGAACCCTACACTGTTACTGAACACAAGTTCATATGCCCAATGCACAGTGAAGCCAAATAAACCAAAGCATCAGTTTGGAGCAAAGAAAGGTTTATTACAGGGCCATGAAAGAACAGGTGGCTTATGCTCAAAGAACCCAAACTCCTCATAGAGTTGCAGCAAAATATTTTTAAAGGCTGGATGAGGGCAAGGTTCAGGAATCAAGACTGCTGAGAGAAATATCAATAGCCTCAGATATGCAGGTGACACTGTCCTTATGGCAGAAAATGAAAAGGAACTAAAGAGCCTCTTGATGTGAAAGTTCAGTTCAGTTCAGTCGCTCAGTTGTGTCCGACTCTTTGCAACCCCGTGAACCGCAGCACGCCAGGCCTCCCTGTCCATCACCAACTCCCAGAGTCTACCCAAACCCATGTCCATCGAGTCGGTGATGCCATCCAGCCATCTCATCCTCTGTCATCCCCTTCTCCTCCTGCCCCCAACCCGTCCCAGCATCAGGGTCTTTTGCAATGAGTCAACTCTTCGCATGAGGTGGCCAAAGTACTGGAGTTTCAGCTTCAGCATCAGTCCTTCCAATGAACACCCAGGACTGATCTTTAGGATGGACTGGTTGGATCTCCTTGCAGTCCAAGGGACTCTCAAGAGTCTTCTCCAATGCCACAGTTCAAAAGCATGAAAGAGGAGAGTGAAAAAGCTGGCTTAAAGCTCAACATTCAAAGAACTAGGATCATGACATCCAGTCCCATCACTTCATGGCAAATAGGCAATGGAAACAATGAGAGACTTTATTTTTTGGGTGCTCCAAAATCACTGAAGATGTTGACTGCAGCCATGGTACTGATTAGCTCCTCAAATTCTATTACATTTTCTTACTATTCAGGTGGCTTGATATTTTATATTTTTCTATAAAATTTTGCTTCTAGCCTTTCAGTGAGTATTCAGGATTGATATCCTTTAGGACTGACTGGTTTGATCTCCTTGGAATCCAAGGGACTCTCGAGTCTTCTCCAGCATCACAATTTTAAAACATCAGTTCTTCAGTGCTCAACCTTTTTTATGATCCAAATCTCACATCTGTACATGACTATTGGAAAAACCATAGCTTAGACTATATGGACCTTTGTCAGCAAAGTGATGTCTCTGCTTTTAAGTATGCTATCTAACTTTGTCATAAATTTCCTTCCATGGAGCAAGCATTTTTTAATTTCATGGCTTCAAACATGATCCATAGTAATTTTGGAGCCCAAGAAAAGAAAATATGTCACTGCTTCCACTTTTGCCACTTCTATTTGCCATGAAGTGATAGGACCAGATGCCATGACCCTAGTTTTTTAAATGTTGAGTTTCAAGTAGCTTTTTAGCTCTCCTCTTTTCCCATCATCAAGAGGCTTTTCCATTCTTCTTCAATTTCTGCCATGAGAGTGGCATCATCTTCATATCTAAAGATGTTGACTTTAGATTTTGACTCAAGCTTATGATTCATCCAGCCCAGCATTTTGCATGATGTGCTCTACATATAAGTTAAACAAGCAGAGTGACAATGTACAGCCTTGACATACTACTTGCTAAATTTTGGATATGTCCATTGTTCCATATCTGGTTGTAGCTGTTGCTTCTTCACCCACATACAGATTTCTCAGGAGGCAAATAAGGTGATCTGGTATTCCCATCTCTTTAAGAATTTTCCACAGTTTGTTGTGTTCCATGCAGTCAAAGGCTTTAGCATAATCAATGAAGCAGAATTAGATGTGTTTCTGGAATTCCTTTACTTTCTCTATGATCCAGTGAATGTTAGCAATTTGATCTCTGGTTCCTCTGCCTTTTCTAAATTCAGCTTGTACATCTGGAAGTTCTCAATTCACATACTGCTGAAGCCTAACTTTGCTAGCATGTAAAATGAGCACAATCGTACAGTGGTTTGAATACTCTTTGGCATTGCCCTTCTTTGGGATTGGAATGAAAATTGACCTCTTCCAGTCCTCTGGCCACTGATGAGTTTTTCAAATTTGTTGATATACTGACTGCCGCACTTCAACAGCATCATCTTCTAGGATTTGAAATAGCTCAGCTGGAATTCCATCACTTCCACTAGCTTTGTTCATAGTAATGCTTCTTAGCCCCACTTGACTTCACTCTCCAGTATATCTGGCTCTAGGACAGTAACCACACCATCGTGGTTATCTGGGTCATTAAGATCTTTTTTGTACAGTTCTTCTGTGTATCCTTGCCACCTCTTCTTAATATCTTCTGCTTCTGTTAGGTCCTTACCATTTCTGTCCTTTTTATGCCCATTCTTGCATGAAATGTTCCCTTGGTATCTTCAATTTTCTCATCTCTAGCCTTTCCCATTCTGTTGTTTTCCTCTATTTCTTTTCTTTGCTTATTCAAGAAGGCCTTCCTATCTCTTCTTGCTATCTCTAGAACTCTGCATTTATTGGGGTAGAGCTGTCGTTTCTCCCTTGACTGTTGCTTTTCTTCATTCCTCAGCTATTTGTAAAGCTTCCTCAGATAACCACTTTGCCCTCTTGCATTTCTTTTTCTTTGGGATGATTTTTGTCACTGTCTGGTTTATTGATCAAATGTCCTTTTCCTATTTTATTAATCTCTGCTCCAACTTCACTATTTCTTTCAATTTTGCTGTATTCAGCTTCTTGGTATCAATACATTTTCCCCTACTTTCTAAAAATTAATTTATCTGAGGCTACAGACATTTCCTCTGAACACAACTCCAGTTATAACTAGAAAGCTTTTTTGTGTAGTCTTCTCATTTTCACTCATTTCTAAATACACTTTAACTTGAAATTTCCTTTCTTGAGTTATTTTTAAGCACATTTTATTTTTCCATCTATATTTATATTCATAGTAT